CGGGACCCCCGCAACACCGGGCCCCCCCCGGGGCGCCAAAGCAGAGGGGCCGGGGGGCCCCCAACAGCCGTAAGGGGCGGCAGGCCAGAAACTAAATCCGGCGTCACTCCGCTTCCACAATTAACCAGCCCGTCAGAGCAGCCCCCAGTAGCGAGACGGTGGGGTGCGGGTCCCTGGGAAAGCCCCCTCCGGAGACCTGCCTCTCTCCCGGGGCTGAAGGGCGGACTACAAGGCCCATGTTCCCCGGCTGCTGCCCAGCGACCTCCCCGCTCGCGCTGCGCAGCCCCCTCGAAGAGGAACGCAGCGCTCTGCACGCGCGCAGAGGAACACGGACACTCACCGCGAGCATCCCAAGCACTGCCGGTACGGGCCCGCCGAGGCGCGGACCCGCCTCCCGCCAAGCGGGGCCGTGCCCATGGTAACCAAGCTAGGCCACGCCCTTCCGCCGGAAGGAGGCGCCGCGTCCACGCCCCGTCTCTACGGCAACCAGTTTCGCGCGCACCGAGGCGGGGTTGGTGGGCTCGGTCCCCATGGAAACCGGGCGCAGCCGTCCATCTGGTGCACGCGCAGGTGCCGCGCCTGCAGGCGGAGTCCCGGGCGGGAAACCAACCCCTTTTAAGACGGGCGGACTCCAACTCCCAGAATTCCCCAGCCATCATGCTGCAGGCATGAATTCTGGGAGTTGAAGTCCATCCATCTAAAGCACGCTGGCCAGGGAATTCTGGGAGTTGGAGTCCACCCGTTGTAAAGGGGCCGAAGTTAAGAAACCCTGCATTAAACTGCAATGGGCAGGTCCCACAGGGCAAGCATCACCCATGCTTTCTCTGGCAATGCCTTGCTCCCCGGGCACCGGTTGCCAAGCAATGGGCCCCCCAGGGAGAGAGCTGGACCCCACGCCTTCCCCGGTTGGGGTTGCTGGATCGGGTCCCCCAAGGGCGACCCCCAAGGGACCCCATCCTCCTCCAGCCCCCTCGAAACGAAACCAGCAGTCCCGGGAGCAGCGTGGGGGGCAAAATGCAGCCCTCCAGAGACCCCACTGCACCTGGAAGAGGAGGGTGCAACAGCCGCCTGATTAAAGCAAGGGAGCAGCTCAATCTCACCCGTTTATTCTCTTTTTAAAAAAGGTCTTTGTCTCATCGCTCCCCCATTCCAACTTAAAAAGGTTACATCCCCTTGGAAAAATAAGTTTCACATTTTAAGTTCAGCAGCTGCAAAACCAGAGAGGAACGGGGGCAGGCGGTCCAAGGAGCCCCCTCCCCAAATGTATACATTCTCAGGGCTTGCAAAAGGTCCCAATGTTCAGTGTCGGCGGCATCCGGGGGATTTCAGAAGTTCTTTCTTTGGCCGCTGCAATGTTTTATTTCTGTGCGGCGGACCAGGCCGTAAGGCGCCTGCGTTTTCTTCACGTCGCCTAAAATCCACGTCTGCTGAAAAACGAGGCAGGGTCCGAAACCCACTTCCCATCAAATGGGAACTTGCCACAAAAAATTAAAAATCAGCGTGGCAGGCAAGCCAAACTGGAGTGCTAGTTTGGAGGGTGGGAAGATATATAAAAATGCCATAATTTAGAAAAAATACATATATATATATATATATATATATACACACACACACACACACACGCACAAACACACCATACCAAAAAAGGTTCATATTGCTAAGACGGTATTGAACGTGACTCCCCCGACATGGATCTGAGTTTCAAGCGACGGGATTTGGCAACCTTCCCAAATTTTGCATCCACCAAGTTGGAGAAATGGGCATTGGGGCCGAGTTAAATGGGGAGGGTCCCTTGGAGGAAAAAAAAGGGTATTTCCAGAACCCTGGACTGGCCAGGTTTCCCCCGGCATCACGAACGGTAGTGATAATTCTTAGGAAAAAGACCACCGAAGCGTTCTGTGAAATGAGGGTGCTCGGGGGCACATCCACCCTTTCAGAGCTGTTCCCAGCCCCGCGGGGAAACCAGGTCCTGCTGACTGGCGGGGGCGGGAGGTGGTCTTCCGGCTCGGTGTGAAAGCGTGC